ACACACGATCAATGACTAAATCCGCAATAAATATAAGTAGGGCTTCTCTGCGGAATAATATTCAATTCATCATTTATGAGCTCTCTAGTTATAATCAAAATGTATATTTACCTTACTGTGTATACCGTCTCGCAGCAAGCATTTAAATGCAAGCCAAAAGCATTTATATTATATTGTTGATTAAGAATAGAATTTTATATTCAACATTAAACGTAAATAAACTCTATAAAGCCATTCCACCGTCCAGCGCACAGTAAATCGCCTTACTGAGCCTTACGATCGCATTTTTCGCAGAGCTCTAGCAAATTTTATCAGTGAGTAATGAAGTATTCTGTATGATGGTGTTATCTCTTAAAATGAGAGAGGTGAAAAGTGTGAGATACTTTCCATTGAGAGGAAGAAGCAAGATGGGGAAACACTTACATCTTCCCTAGCAACTGACAATTCATTTATTTAATTAAATATGGTTTCAGATATTATGATATGAGGGAACATTAAACGTGGGATACTTCAGCGAACTGAAAAGAAACTCTTCCTCTCTAGAAAATATCTCGTATTGTTTAAAAAAGGAAAAAATTATCAATAATATTTTGCCTTGCTCTTTTCGGCTCGCAATGGGAAAATTAATAACTGACTAAATATGTGGTCCAAACGCAATGCAGAAGATAATTTTTCTGGTTTCATTCTGCAACTGTTCAGTGTTCCCACCCTTATTGTCTGGTGAGCGTCCCACTCACATAGGTATTAAGGTTACAATCCCCTACTGAAATCCTTTGTATTCATGTGCGCTACTGAAAATGTAGAAATACATAAAATGATTTGTTACAGTTAATGACGGTGCTTGAGTTTTACTCGGGTGGGTACTTTAGACAGAAACTTGGATCTTCATAATTAATAATTCGTCTTACAATTAGTTAAAAAACGTAAATGAAAAATGAATACTTCTGCACTAAGGCAAACGTCCATCAATCGAAAAAAACATGAATTGTCGTCATAACTTGATATATTCCTTCCTTTTTCACTGTAAGTTGATCTCAAAATGTGTAAATGTATTCTTTAGACACACAAGTATTTATTTCTTGCAAATTCGATTTTTTTCTCAAAATATTGTGTTTAAGTAGAACTAAAAAAAGAAAAAAAAAGAGAAAGAAAAATAATCTTCACATAATTAAAAACGATTTTAGTATTGTTTGAAACAAGGCCGGATTAGCGCTCAGGGGCCTGGGGCCCGAGGTGCTGTTCACAAGAAGGGGCCTCAAATCTTAAAATTTAAGGGCCTCATGACACCCAAATTCCAGTCTCAGGGCCTCTCTGAATATGTTTTTCAGGCTCTAATGACCCCTAGAGGATCTGAAATAAAAAAGGGAATTGTATAGGGGAGCTCGTACCTACCGGGAATCCAGGATGTTACAGCACCACAGCAACTAATCTGGCCCTGCATCGAAACGGTTTCCCACTTGTAACACTTCTTTTGGGAGGCCATTTAAATTTTAGTTCTTAATTATATATGTGCACACATACTAATTTTGGATCCCAAGCCCCACATTGTAGCTTTTCATTTAGATTGAGAAAAAAAGAAAAACTAAACAGAGTTTATATTTTTACACTTATGGAAGTTCCAGAGCCTATATCGCCAGTTGATCATTTGTAGCTTTATTTGTCGTGTTATACGTTACCGTATTTTAGATTTATCCAGGTTATGTAATTCTTATTTCTGACTTTTTCCAAATTTTGTAGGTACCATGTACCACCTAAATTTGAATGAGAGATAGAACCATGTGTATCTGAACCATTTTTGTGTGACATCCGTTTTCCTAGATTTAGAGATACTTTGTCTTCACAATCGACATTAATGTGACCTTCCATTGTGAATATGTAATTCTTTTCAACAAACAAAAACACTGGCCTCCAAAATTACAACCTCTTCGATAAATACATATATTCTTTTTATTTTTCAGCCACGTCTGTGAGCCCATCCACATGTTATAAGTCGGATGGGTCTTTTTCAATAGTGAAAGTCGAAAAACACGTACATTTAAATTTGTAGCGTCGCAGAGGTCGTGCCACATTTTTTAATCTCAAAACATATAACTGATGAATATTATTTCTTGGAACTTTTATGGGCCTGTTGCAATCTTTTGCTAGAGCAAAAATAAGAATTGTTTCTTATAGAAGATGTCTCAAAAATCACGATGAGCGCATCGGCAAACTCTGAAATGCACTCCTAACTCCACAATCTGTGTAAGAAATCCGCGTTTTTTTAAGCTTCCCGCTTCAAAAAGGATACTGCGGCACCGACAGAGCACAGGGGTGAATTTCATGAGCAACCCTGTGCCGTCCGCAGTGCACATGGCGCACGACCCGCCTTGCATAATTACACTTCACCAAGCGTTGAGAGTTCACGAATTACTTCATACGACAAATGTGTAATTTTAAAAGTCGAAAATTAAAAGAAGAATAAAAAAAAAAAAAAATGCCAGGGAGCTCTCCCTGCAAGAAAGAAGAAATCGTTCACCACCCGCCCGCCGCGCCGCATCGGGAGAGCTGCAGCTTGCTGCCAGCGCGGAACGCTACTTCACGCATTGCGCAATGCTTGAAGTATCCCTTTAGGTTTGTAGGCGCCAGTGCGCGTTTCGAGCTGGCAGCACGCCGCGCCACGCGCCGCGCCGCAGCGAGCCATAAACCTAGAGTGCATTTCAGACTTTGCCGATGCGTTCATCATGACTTTTGAATCGATATCTAGGAGTAACAACTCTTATTTTCGCTCTAGCAAAAGTTTGCAACAGGGCCATTAGAACGTTTCCATAGAAAAAATATTAAAACAAATGTAAAAAAGTAAAATAATAAGAAGTACAGAAGGTGATTCTGAACCTCGCCATTATGATGTACGTTTTTTTCAATTTTCACGATCGTCTTGCATGTTTACTCAAAACAAATAAACAACAAAACAAATTGCAACAAAACATTTTATGGACAAAAACAAATTGCTGCAAATTCGCAAGCCACCCCTTCGAGTTTCCCTTGAAATCTCTCCATGCGGATTAACAAAGGTGCACTACCTCCTTGTGCTACTGTTATCCTCACCACAGCAAAGTTTTTAAAGCGATTTTGAAAGATGCGCACTGCGTTTACGTACATACCGTAATGGAAGCTGAAACGCCTTCATTCCTCTCTGTGGGCAACAGGAAAGTCCAAAAGAAAATTGGAAATTGCCGAGAGGTTCAAATTCTCATCGCTGGATCACTGAAGCGAGCATGATGAAAAAATTGTGAGAAGATGTGGATTGCATCATATGTAAGGATAGTGGTGGGGGAGGCGAAAGTAGGCGGGTGGGCCACTACTTTTAACTTTAATACAAAGAAAAGACGGTACAATAAAGTCAAATGATTCCGTGTTGAAGCGCCGGTATCGTCTCTCACATAGCAAAATTATGTTTACCCATTTTCAAAGTAAATCGGAAATACAAGATGGGAAAATTTTGTTATTTTCGAGCAAAATGCGAGGAAAATGTCTGACCATCAAATTACATATAGAATGAATTTAAACGATCAAAACTCAAACTGAATGATACAATATTGAGGGAAAACTACTTAAAATAATTTTTCTGTCCTCTCTTCTGAAATGCGGTTCCCAACTCACATTTGGGAAGGGGAATAGCAGAACATTTGATAAGATTCACGAATTTTTAATTGACTTAATTGTGGTCCCGTCAATACAAGTAGATGATCATGCACGGGTCTATGTCTGCTTGTGATGTTACAAATTTCCTGTATTTCATTGTTTTTATTCAAAACTTCGTGCGATTTATCAAAATTGCTTTTCGAAAATTTTGTTTGTATAAAAATCTAAAGTATTATTCCAGAAGGCATAAAGTAAAAATCCACACAGAAGGACGCCCTGCCCAAGGAGGTTAAAGAAAATTTTACGAATCATGCTCAGATACCTGAATTTTTGGGGCACAGAGGGGACCAGCAACGTTGAAATACATTTAACGGATGCATTTTTCGAAAGATTAACTATGCCACGATTAGGAACATTAATAGTTTACTTCGTCGGCACAATGGGCAACGCAAGAATTAAATTATGGTGTAGGAGAAACGGGCAAAAAACACCCTCACAGTTATAGTACCGCATGCGACGAAGACTGAACGAATTTCATTACAGCGCCTTGATTGATGCGACTATTCGAGCTCCATGGATGTCCGTGTTGCATACGCACTGAAATGAAGGCATTTTGACACCTCGGGCACTCACCACTTTACCTGCGGCGGCAGAAGGGAGTGCTGCTAGTATCCCAAATGACACAGCACCTTCAATTCTTCGTTGATAGCACCATCTTCTAGATACTAATAGTTGCTCTATGGAGTCGTATTGGTGTATCCAGGCGTTACTAAACTTTGTTTTGTTCCTTGTTTGTCGCATACGATATGTGTTTAACCTGCTTATCTCTGTTCTTCCTCCTCTCTTTCTTTGATTCGTTCTCCATTCTCCCTCCTACTTCCTTGCTCTCTCCTTCTCATATTCTTCTTCTCGGACGGAAATTGTAATGAAAGAAAGAAAGAAAGAAAGTAGTAGTAGTAGTAGTAGTAGTAAAATAATTTTATTTTAAAGCGGAAAGAAAGAAAGAAAGAAAAAAAAAAAAACAGTTCGGTGGAAAACAGCGTAAGCGGATGGCGCTTACGTAAATGGACGTCTCTCATAATCGATGAATGCTCAACCTTCATACGATCGAAGGGCAAATACCATTAAAAAATTTGAATAGGTAGATGAGGTTTATGGCTAGACAGAAATTATCTTGTCTATAAAAAATTCGCCGACAGAGACCTTTTGACCATTACATGGAGAATGAGTGACTACATAAAAAAAGTGATTTCAGAAGATGGAGAACGAAGGAAATGCGTCGGAAAATTAAAAATTCCCGCCATTTTTGAACAGCGTGTTTCTGGTTGGTGTTGGTCAAAGATTGGTTTCCGGTATTCTACGAACAACAACAACAATCATCAACTGAACCTAACCTCAAGCCCCAAACATTTCAGTTTCAGGCCGAGTTCCCAACATGTTCCCAAATGTTAGCTTATTTCTAATTCATTAAAGTGCATTCGAAGTGTTTAATCTATTCTACAGCGTGATTCAATACTTTCTGTTTAAAATTCGAAAAGAACCCACATCATTCATTTTGTACTTCTTTCTTCATTTTCATTGAGTGTTGCTGTTATCAGAGGTCTCTCATCAGTAACATGTCGAAGTCAGTTGATCAAGAGTTAAAAAACGTAAGTATTTTTCAGTATTAACATTGAACACAAGATTTCTTTTAAATTCACCATTGAGCTGCTGTTGCTTGTGTGAACATCAAGCAATGAGCTTGGAGGATAACCTAATTGACTCTCCACTCCATAAGCGTCCCCTGGATTCTCCACTTAATTTTATTTTCTGTTCATGTCTTTACGAGCCCACAAAAGCTTTCATTTTTAGGGAATAATGCATGTAATGGCCCTGATCCCAAGTGGTTTGAGAACCAGGGAAAACATGAAATGGAGGAAGTAAGCATCTGGTAAGTATAGCTTATCCTGTCCTGAACTCCTGATTAGAACAAAATAACTGACCAACTGGTTACTGCTTGGATGACTAACTCGCCAGCCTTAAGAGTGGGTGAGCAGACTGGCAAGGATGGGATTTCTGGAAATATATTCAGCACAAAATTGTGTGGAAGGAAAGAAGGAAGGCTCTGTTTTAACTGTAGCGGTTGACAACGAGCTTGAGCCTTTGACCTATTCAAAGTGTAATAACTCAGTAGCCCTGATTTGTCTATTTGTGGGTGCTGTGTTTTAAATCGTGCTTTTTAATTTTAATGTATTTTACTATCAATATTTTTTAATGTGAATGTTTTTTTTTTTTTTTTCATGCATACAGGCTTTTCAGGAGCTGCAGCTCAAAATGATCGACACCAAGCAAAAATTGAAGCTTTCAGACGTCCAGATAGATTCTTTGAAAAGGACTAAAGTCCACTCTGAAATTACTCTAAAAGAAATTAAGGTTAGTAGTCTGGTATCACTTGCATATGTTGGTAGATACTTATGATTACTAAAGCAAATAATCTTCACGGCCAGTCAAGGAACTTCTGCCTCCTTTGACGGGCAAAGAGCAATCGCTTCCTTTTGGTTTGAGTCTTGCCTTCTTAGCTGCTGCAATTCCTCTCAAAATAACATTATGTAATTGTATCCAAGCGAGTAATTAGATTTATAGTTAGGGTGCCTCAAATTTATTCTACAAGACATTGTGAAGCTGATAGTAAATTCTGAAAAGCTTGCTCTATCCTCCCAAGCATATGAATCGCATGAAATCCCAATAAACATTTTTCAAAAGAAAATGAGACTAGTGGCTCATATAACAATACTATAAGCTTCAATGGATTAAAAATAAAAATTATTTACAGGAATAAAATACGCATACCTGCTTAGTGCTCTGCCAGTCGATTGCTGAAAGTTAAAAGTTAATAGACACATGAGAATAAAATTGAGTTTTCAAGATAATTTCATTATTGACTTAAAATTCTCATTTTTCTCTAAGTATTATTATCTTTTTTCAATGAATTATATATCTATTAAAGTAAGCTCTCATTAGTTCCCTTTTTTCTCAGCCAACATGCAATGACGCTCTTTCTGTTATCTTACTTGCTCATCACTGGTATGCAACGTAATTGAAGTTTCTTAGCAAACTTATTATAATGGTCAACCTAATCGAGAGTAAAGATACATTGTTAAAGTAAAGATCTAACTGATTTGCTCTTTGAGTTTAGGAATAGGCTACAAAGTGGGTAATCACCCTTTCTGACCTAAAACTCATCAAAATAGAAACATGATTCTAATAGGAAGGCTGCAAGTTTGTTTCAATCAATTTTGCTTCTTTTTTTTATTTCTTAAATTTTACATTGATTTGTTTTATGTTTCTCATGTTTCTATCTGTTTACTAAAGGCTTTGTCGGACAGTATAAAAACATACAAGAGCATTGGGCGCATGTTCCTCACCGCTGAAAAAGCTGAAGTTCTGAAAGATTTACAAAGTCAAATCAATATGTGCGATGAAAAGATAGAAAAATTAGAGGCAAGTATCCACTTAATTTTATTTCTTCCTCTCCATATTTTTTCCATGGTTAGTTCAAGCTTTAGAATTCTGTTGATGGTATTTCTTTCAAATTCCCTCAGAAAAGTCTCTACATTTTTCCCAGCTTAAAAATCCAACAAAGTGTAAGAACAAGAGAAAATGCATAAAAATTTGATGCAACGTTCTAAAGTCTGAGAAAAAAGCCTGTCATCTTCCTTTCTACTATGCTCACAATTATGACTTGCAATTCGTAATCTGAAAATCTGAACTTTCTTGTGATCTTTGTGATCTTTCTGTGTGAACTTTTTTCTGATCTTTGTGTTAGAAACAGGAACTTCTTGGTTAATTTATTTCCACGTAAAAGCACTCTCCTCTCTGACAAGAGGCATAAAACTGGCCGCAAAAACTTTATCTTTGAGAGATAAAGTATTTTGGGTACGGTGTAAAGGTGGAATAAAATGGAAAATTGTTTCAATATTTTTTAAAAAATGCTTGTTATGTAATGTTCTGTTTGAAATCATCGTTTTTTTCCATATTTTTCTGTTTCAGAGTGGGAAAAAATATCTTGATAGAAGTTACAAAGATAGTGTAAACAATCTCCGAGAAATGGTCCAACAGCGGAAAGATGCAGTGCAGAAGGAAAGCTAATCATCTAATAATATTTCAGGAAGCTGCAAGAAAGTTATCTCCAATTCTACTAATAAACTAATTTTGGCTTAAGTTATTTTGAACGTGCCACAGCAGGAAATTTTTGCCATCATGCGAATTTGCTTCCATGAGTCTTCCTGAAACATACAATTGACTTTCTAATTTTCATCCCGTGCTGTATGATTTCCGTTTCTTGTATTATGGCAAACCTCGCTGATGTGAAATGTATAAAGTAAATTATAAGGATGGCTAAACTTTGAAACCACACTATCACAGTTCATGATGTTGCAGACTTCTCACCTCATGTCATACTTATTTTGTCAGTCAAGAAAACAACATAATTTATTGTGATTTTTCTTCTCTGTTAGGAGATTATTCTGTGAACATTTCAAGAATGAAATTGGCTCAGCTCACTATGGAAAAATAAAATAAGAGCAGAAGTTTGAAAACATTGCAATTGAGATTTGTGGTTTCTGAGTAGAGAAATCTATGAGAGTCGCACATGTTCAAAGCCGAAGTCGAAAGGAAGGAATAGGGATGTAAATTGATTTTCTGAACTGGTTGATAAGTAAACTAGATTACCAAACCAATATTAGAAGCTCATAACTTTTGGGAAACCACATACAATTTTTTTCAGCAATGTGCTTATTGGAATTCTGCAACTGTGCTCATCCTTTGCTACAACTTGGCCTGTGCAACAAAATTTCAATAAGTTCATTGGAGGACTCCTGTTTTTTGTAGTTCCCTGGCAATTAAAATCCTTAATAACATCGGTTTTGTTGGTTTAATTTTTTATGTAAGTCATGTAGAACACTTCTGGACTGATACTTAATGGACCTTTCCTAGGAAACTAACTGACACAACTGTTTGATCCCCTGAATTCCCCTTTTTTTATTATTTTTACCAACGGCATACTTAAAGTCTTGTTGCGTTATACACCCTAAAATCTGATTTATAACTGAAGAAATGAAAAATTAAAGAATAAGTTTTACAGCTAATTTCAAACATTTTTGTATCTTATTTCTCCCCGAAAAAATGTAACTTTGTCGTATTTCTATGATGCTAAGGAGCAGAAAAATGGAAGAAAGAAACTGCACTCTCAATAGCCTTTAGTGATATTATATATAGTAGTATGAGCATGAGCAATGCGACAAAAATTAAATCCTTGAGAATTTGTCTGATATTATCAAATGATAAATATTCATTATTGTTGCAACTAAACCTAGAGCTGCAGTAAAAGTTTAAAATTTTGAAAACCCATAATTTTGATCTAAATCAAACTTGGGCAAACATGTATCAAGAGCTAACTACCCTCTTCTTTAGTTTGCACTATCTGAACTTGAATAGGTGAATGCCTTCACTAAGAAATGCGGTGTTATACAATTGAGTGGAACAAAGAAAATGCTTTGAAGGGCACAAGTGATCAAAATTTTTGACGCCATCAATGCAGGTAGCAAAGAAATTGTGAAGATAATTTACAATGAATTGCTCTCCAGATGTTTTGACTCAAAACTGAGCCCAACGTATAGGGCTTCAGGATACAATGAGGTAATTAGAGTTGAAAATATTTTCTCTTCTATGATGTACTAATTTTGAAGAGTTTTCCATTGAAAACCTTCGATCGAAGAATGAAATATGCTAGGGAGAGATTTAGATGCACTGCAGAGAACGTTTGCTTTGGAATTTTATCAGAATTTAAAAAGTTCAAAAGTTTGTGAACATTGATTGTCAGTAATTGTGGTTGCGAAGCCAACAATTTTTCAGTGAAAATGTTTAAAAATAAAAGGTAAGACATTGATTGAAACATTAAAGAATCCTTGTCTTACAGAAATTAAATGGAAGAGTTTGTCACTCTTGTAAATGTATTCAAGAGCCTCTGCGAAGTTCTCCTAAATTTCTTGATAGAAGAAAGTTTTGTAGAAAAAAATTTATACGCTTTGCCGGAATTCCTAAATCATCCATCAAAAAATGAACATCATAGCAGTGCTACTCCATACTCAATGTAAACAGCACTCCATTTTTAACTCCTGCAAATTTTTATCTTTCACTTAAACTTTGTAAAATTTTATGCCTACAAGCAGGGAGCAATAGCAAATGGGTACAGCATGATTACACTCCTCAAAATTTTCAAGAAATAAGTTAGTATGGGAAAGAAAGGATAAATTCTGGGGTTTTTTGTTTTGTTTTTTACACAGTTATACATAAAAACCATTCAAGTGAACACCCTGTCAGCAGGGAGACTGAGTTGCTGTCTTATCAATTTATACTCATCTTTTCTTAAAGGTTATTAAGTTGCAGCCTGTAACAAACCTCATCTTCTCTAGATGTGGGAAGTCTGCACTCTTACGAAAACTCTCCCATCCATTTTTTCTTGAATTACATTCAAAAAATTCTGAGCATTTCGTGGATAATATAAATCTTACACACAGATACTAATATTTTTTCCTCATCCCTCCGTGGTAAAGGACCAGGCGATATTTGTGCGAGAGAAAATGCAAATGAAAGACAGGTGAGGTTTTTTTTAATATGGTCTGCTGTATTCAGGATTTTTGTATTGTATAATACCTAAGGGAGAACAAGATAATTACCCAGGTACTAAGTTCCTTTCATCCCTTAAGAAAATAAAAATCAGTCATAAGTAACCTCAAGGCATGTAGGATTTTTTACCCTCTCTGTGTTTATCGATCCAAATAATGAGTGAAACTAAAGAAATTAGGTACTCGGAGGAGAAAAGCGATTCGTTCTCTAACTCTGAATGTTCAAAGCGATCACGACTGCATAGTCGGTCTAGCTCAAAGATGAGCGTCAAATTGAATTTCCCGCGGTGAATAATGGATATGCATACAGAGCCATCTATCGGATCTTCCCAATATCTACCGCTACCGCTCTCAACAGGAAATCCTAACCTCTAAGAGCGTAATCAATTATCAATTAATTGTTTGCATCAAGTAGTGATAAGCACTTGTACTCAACTAATCCTGTCCGTCACATTTCAGTATATTTTTTGGACTCTGGAAAACTTCCTTCGAAATTCGTAAAGAAAGCTCCCTTGAACATTCATTCTAGCATCATGGGGGACGTCGAATTCACTCCCCGTGCCTTCAGTAAAGTGATCCTTCATGCAGCCAAGTATCCTCATTGTGCCGTGAATGGCTTATTGCTTGCCAAAGAAGTTAACGATTCCAAAAACTCCAAAAACTTGGTTTTTGTAGATGCTGTACCTTTATTTCATCTCTGCTTACAAGTCGCTCCGATGGCAGAAATTGCTTTAACTCAGGTAAATAGAATTCTTCGATTTGATTTTTTAATTGGGTCTGATGGTTGTTTCAGGGGAAGCGACAAAGTGTTAACTGTTATGTTTAAGACTATGGTCATTGCGGCTCATCCTCAAAATCCATTCGCATTTCATGAAAAAGGATTTCTTGAAACAGTGCCCATATTTCACAAGGAGTCATGCCCTGAGCGGTGTTTTCCTCTAACCGACGATGCGACATCGCGCACAGCGCATGACCAGTCTCCCATTTGAACTCATGTATTGCTTTGGATATGGCACTTCTTGAGGAGCAGTGCTGGCTGACTTTCGTTATATTTCATGTCATCAAATGGCAACCTGCGCAGAGCGGCGCCACATGATGTCTCTGAGCCAGTTTGGAAGATAAAGCAGCTTTGGAGGATTGTCTCCTTAGATCAATTTTAGTACCAGCCATTATTCTCTTGCTCTCAGAGTCCATACCAAATAAGTATGCATACTTCTTGACTGAAAGAGGAGATTGTCTGACGTCCCTTTTACATGTACAGTAAATGGAAGAATCAAGGTGGCGAATCCTCTGTCGCAGTCTGAAAGTGCATTTAAACTTATTTGGCGTGAACTCTAGAGCTCTAAATGAGAAAACCTAGGTGACAGCCTCACTCTTGCTGTTTTTCGAAGAACTGTGCCTTGTCTTTAGCATATCTGCAGGGTGGAAAATAATAGGTAGGTCATTCCATGAAAAATCACCCTGAGGTAGTTGCTAGACCAACCCCAAAACTTTTCATAGTTTTTTCTCACATGTTTGCATACCAACTAAGGACGAAAATGGCTGTTTTAGGTTGTTTATATTGTCTCCAAATCTGTAGCAGCTATTCAAAGTGGCTATTCCCAGGAAAACCAGTGTTGCGGGATATTGAAAATTTTCTTCCAGTGGAATCGATTTAAGTTTTTGTGGCGGTCTCTCTTCTCCGCCAAAAATTGTGAGAAGTAAAATGGTATCTGTCACCAGTTAAATACATTTTTCCAACACATCATGTAGCACCGGTTTTTTCACAAAAATGTTTGTTCCGAAACTGTCGTTAAAATTTCCTGTAAAAGCCATCATTAATTAAATACACTATGACATGGACTTTTAAGAAGAAACATTCCACTCTCCTTGTATCTATTGCCATGGCTCCAAGTTCAATGCATTTGCGTGATGAAGTAGGCAAGTGTATTATCAGCAACTTACCTCTTGTTTATCCATATAATTTTTCTCAGAAATTAACAATTTTTCCTTTTAATTCTTTTTGCAGGTAGATCAAATTGCATTGTCTCAAGGTCAAGTGATAGCTGGATATTATTTTGCCAACAAAAATTTTTCAGATAACAGGTAAGTTAAAAGTCAAACTATTTGATGTGTGCATAGGAGGAGAGGATTAAGGAAGAAACTTACTTCAAGAGGTCAGCTAGGCTGATTATGGTCAAAGAAAACCAGAAAAAATTGAAGGATAAAAGTTGAATGACCCACAAGTTTAATTTGTAAGTTGTGTAGTTAGAAATAGAAAAGTTTTACATGCCATATTATTTTACACTATATATTTCAGCTTGTCTCTCAGCTTTAATCAATGATCTTATAATTGTTAATTAAGAAGTCTCGCAATTTTCTAAAGTTATTAATTTTTTTACCTTTCTTACTTTAAATGGAAATTGGTTTCGATAGGCTCCTATCTATTTTCTGGAGAAATGCTGTAGCATCAATCCCCTTCAGTACTTATTGCAAATTTGTATTATTATCTTTCTTTTTTAAAGTATTGGTATTTGTTTTCCTTACAGCCCGGATGTTGTTGCCCGCCGCTTATCTGATAAAATTGCAGAAAATTACAGTTCAGCGTGCTTAGTAGCTGTGAGTAGTTATTTTTCCTTCTTTCCTCTCATCTTGAACAAAAGATTAGCCAAATTCATTTTGAAATTCTTACAATAGATTTGAAACACTTTGATGGCTAAACTTGGAAATCACAAATCATTGTTTGTGATGGTTTGTTGCATCTTGGTTTGGTTACGATGTAGATTTTCCATCATCTCCCATTCTAAATTATCTTAATACCATGTATTATTACTTATTATTTGTTATTATCAGAAAACTGATCAATTGAATTATTCAAAAATGTTCGTAATTTGCCCTGTTTGAAAGATATTTAGTGAGAACTTTTAGTAGCGCAGTCAGTTTGTAACCCTCCGAAAAATAAAATACCTCCTAAGTGCAGAAATTCCAAAGCTTCATAAACTTGATTTTCAGGTTTGGCCATCGAAATTCATGAAGCTTTGGTTAGAAAGAGTTTTTAATTTGTTTTAAAGATATATATTGACACATTCGGTAAAGATACCTAAAGTTAAGAAGCACGGTTTTTCCATAATCTATGTCCAGTCTTGTTCCTAGTCTTCAGAATGAATGAGTTATATAGGTGTATTGGGATGTTACAAAACAGTTTCTTAAAATTTTTGAAAACATTTTTCCTTTTTTTAGGGGGGGGGGGATTTTCAAAGCAGTACCTAAATTTTATGAACTCCAAACTTCCCTGCCTGAGCTTGGGAAGCATATTTTTTAAGCTTGAAGCACTCTGGAACACTCAAAAAATCGTTGCACGCTTCCTGAATCCTAATGGGGTTCTGCGAATTGATAACTCGTTCAAATGGCGAATACCTCGAGAAGAACGATTGTGCTCTCAAAAAATCTTGGAATCTTCTCCAAACTCAAGGAAAGTTTTTTTAAGCCGACCCATTCAAAGTGGTCACTTTTTGGCTGAAGCAGGTCCAGAACCATGCTACGTAACGGTACACTACAAACCTAGCCACTGCTTTATCATTAATTGCTCATTGTTGGAAGCTTCCTTTAAAAGTAGGGTTCATTCTCTTACTTTGTAATTATCTAATGAAGGCTATAGACTTTTAAACGTCTGAGGATTCCATTTCTAAAATCCATTTTTGTCAGTAAATCATCAGTTGCCTCGATATCTGCATTTGAAAAAGACTGCCAATTCCTAATGGAGAAACACATCAAGAGTGATGATGAAACCAAGTTTGTAATGTACGGTGACGCAGCAAGTGTACCGCACCCGTTCCCGCACAGAAGTGATCGTTTTGAGAGTCCAGATTTTGGAAGGTTTTTTCTCAAATTAATTCTTAAGGGTTCTCGGTGGTAAAAAAAAAACTCCAGGAAAGTTCCTGTGACATCAGGAGCCTTAATTCTTTCATGACAAGAAATAGAAAAAAATTGTGCAACAAGCCCACTGACAAACTATTATGCAACACAAAGGTTTTTAATCTTCAGACCATGAGGTAACCACTTAGTAAATTTTTTACCCTTTGAGAAGTAAATTAGATTTGAAGGTCATTAGACTGCTTTTAAACAAAATGAAGGGTTATTCTCATTTTTTCATACTCTATACTCTCATAAATGAGATCAGATTGTTTATCTTCGAATATTGACAACCTGACTTTTTTGTTTTCAGGTAAATAACACAAAAATGACGCTAGACATGAAGGAATCGCCTTTGAGTGTAACACAGTTTTCTGGAAACAAATGGTCACCAGTCAGGTAAAGTAAATCTTTTTATTTCGTCATTAGACAATTACTTATTTTTTCATGCTCATCCAAGAATATTTTTTGAATTTTTGGCAACACTTTATGAATTAATAAACTGTTTTTGAAAATTTCTTGTGGTGTATCAACAATTGTATTACAGGTTAAGAGGAAACTCCATTTCCTGTGATACGGCAGCTGTTTATTTTCTCATGCAGTTATTTTAGCGAGAACTTTTGGAACATCCTGTTCATTCGTAGGACGCAAATAAGGAAGACAAAAGTAGCCAATGTAAAATTATGCTTCATAGATAATATCACTGTGCCATCATATGATGTAATGGTGTATCATTGCATGATTAAATGATTATGATGGTGCCTGGATTGTATAATTTTAAAAATTATCATACCATGTGGCAGTGTGGCACTCACTATCCATTCCTATGAATTGGATTTTCAATCCTCGCCATGGTTCTAGCTGGCACCTTTGAAAGATTTTGCAACCTCCCAAGTTTTGTATTCTTTTCGCTGAGCTGCTTGATCTTGTTACCTCCGTCTCCTCATCTTCTATTTTTTTTTTAATTAGTTTTTTCTTGACAGTAATTTATTCCCACGAGATACTGTCCATCCTTGCCTTATTCATTTTCCTTGCTTTTTTTCCAGTAATACTTATAGTTAATTATGTCTTTCTGCAGCTCTCTTGTCCCTGACAGTATACTGAACGCAACTTCCATCATGCTTCAAGAAAGATGGCACGAGTTTGATCTGGTAGATTTTGATAATCATCTGGATGATATAGCTCTCGATTGGAAGAACTCAAAGCTGAATGAAGCGATAGACAAGCTCGTCGAAACTGGTTGTTAGGCCAAGTCTAACGCAAAATCAAATTTGTTAATCAGTATCATATTCTTGAAAGTCTGTTCACACTTGTAACTGTGAGATTTAATGAATGCATAAGACTATTCACTACCATTCTAAATGGTGACGTGTTCTATTTTTTGAAGCAGTTCTTTTGTATTTTAAACGTAAAAGACAAAAATGAAGTACATATTATTTCAAATGTAAAAACCAGTCTATCAGACCTACAAGGTATGAATTAAACATTTACTTATGTTATAAGTTTTTCCTCAGATGTCTCCTAATAAATCATGTTCAGAGCTATCTATTTGGGAATAAATTCCTCAGCAAGATATGAGGTGAAATGAACATTACCACAACTCAGTTTGACCAATGATATCTTGTAACTGAGGAAACAGCCCTGAGTGAAAAGTAATCCATGAGAAATCTCAGAGAATATGTAAGCCACAGATAATCTATTTCATGAAAGATTACAAAATAGAAAGCATATATACACCTGAGACAGTTTTGTATCTTTTTTAAGGACATACTTTTTTTCTATGAAAGCCAAAGCTTTTTTAAGGACATACTTTTTTTCTATGAAAGCCAAAGCCAATCTGTTCATGTTCATAGGTACTGGTCGTTATACTCTTCAATGTCGATTAAATAAATAACGCGCTGTAAGTTTTATAGGAAAGTTAATTTTTTTTGGTGTCGGTCTTTTCTTTGGATCTCCTCCCGCTGGCAACATTGTTATTATTTATGATGCTTCAGTGCATTCCCTGTCTGCATCAGATTTGACGCATAGCTGCCACCAAAGGAAGTTAAATGTCAACCATAAAGGAAATTTAGATTCTTTTGCTGTGGAAACCACATCATTAGCAGTGGTAACCTTTAAAAAAACCACAAGTGCAAATGACATAATATACCCCAGTCAATTCTTGCGCCTAATATTTTAAATGACCACGAAATTTCCTCCAACGGTGGAATCAATATATAAATATGTACTACGTATGATATTAGTTTTTTTACGTATATGAATTTAAGTTTAGAAAGAGTAAAAGCTGCTACCTGTACAGTATTTGCAATAAAATGTTTTTATCGTTAAAAATGTCTCTTAAATGTTTTCTTTCATTCTCACACATGGCCAGTCTTCAGATGTAATTAGTGAAGTGACATTATTTTAAGCAAGATAATTAAGCTGTACAAATAGATATTTGGTCCTTTTCCAGCAAGTTTCACAACCTTCAAGCACAATCTCAGCGTAGAGGTTCCATTTGTCATCAAATGACCTCACTGAGTACCATTACTTTAGTTGCAAGAGTCTTCCAGTTGTTCCTCTGTTCAAATGAAAGTTCTGAAAATTTGTGATGCTGCTTGAAAAAGCATAGAGAAAATACTGAAGGTGGTAGCGAGGTAGCCATCTTTAGATTTGGCCCTAATTTAGAAATGTTAATTGGCCTTTTGGCCAATGAGAATGAGGCTAGAGCAAGGTGTAGACACTTCTACACACTATACATGACACAACTTTGTTGCGACCGTCTTTAGAAGTGCGTTTACTTGTAAGGATGCAAAAATATACACTTCTTCATTCGCCACAACCACCTGTATTTTCTGTGGTTTAAAAAAGGAAACAGATGGGTCAATTTGCAATTTTTTTTATTCAAGTCGTTTATACTTATTAAAAAAAATCAAAATAATAATAATCAACGAGTTATACAAAACATAAAAAGAAATAAAGCAAGATGGTAGTTGTTTTGAACAAGCTTTAGATTCAACAGATCACATGCATTTTTAAGAGCATTTAAAGCAAAAAACATCAGTCAGTATATGATGCGTCGTGCACCTTTCCAAATTAGAGCTTTTATAAAACTTTGCTTTGAGCAATTGAAATGAAAGGCTTGGACATTACAAGCATGAAAGCATTACATTCTAATATTGACAGCCATCATGATCATTGTATTTAGTAAGTGTGAGTAAATTGACATTATTATTGAGCATTTAACTTTAAAGGTAAGCTTGATGCCATACAGTAATGTAGTTGATAACTAAGGCATGGAAAGTAATATTAACCCAAAATTGGGCAAACATTGAACGTTCATGATAGTAAAGAAAAAGAAAAGAAAAGCAGAATTTTTCATTTTGATTTTTGCGCCGATTAAAGTAGCCACCAAATCTAAAAAAGTATCATGGCAGTCAGTACGTTGTAACAATTTATGAAATGATGTAATTTTAAAATACTGAGTGCATAAAAAAAGAAGACATGAATTTAATTATATTGCAAGAAAAATGAGTGGACTTTGCGGCATGTTAGGTTTCCCGAAACTACATATTAAACAAAATGATATTGAAGAGAGATTGTTCAAAATATTAGTCAAGCAGCTTGTTTTTGATAAAGCTGGTGAGAAATATTTAACTCTCCTCAGTAATTTGATCCTAACTGACGATTTTCTAAGATTAGGGCTAAAAAAAGAGTGAGTAAACTCAGAGCTGATGCTAATAAATGGGCTTCTCCTCATGGATTAAATATTGATCATGCCGCATGAAATTGATTTTGCATGTATATCTGAGTAAATAAAACAAGGCACAGAACATCATCAAGTAATCTGTTATGAAAAAGAGCAGAAAATAGAAAAGAAAAAGAAAAGGAGGAAGAAAACAGTTGAAGAAATCATGGGGAAAGTATATCCTAGCGCTTAAATTTTGTCCAGCTTTTAGATACCTTTATACTTCTGATTTGAGAAGACTGTCATCAAAAAGCTCAGAGTGAGATAAAATGTGGAAGCTTATGAAGAAGATACATATCGTGTCTAAGTATCTTCTCAAATGCCCCTCAGAAAATTGACTATGTACACGCCTAAATTGATTCCATTCTCCTTAACTTTTATGCGTTTGAGGATAGATAAAATTAGTTTTATCCCTCAAAAATTTCAACATACACAAATTAGAAATCACTACCTATCCCTACACTTATTTGTTTTGTTTTGAAAAATAATAAAAGGGAAAAAAATAAACAACTATGAAAAACTTTACTCTAAACAGTTCAGGAGATAATATGCTCGAGTATCAACATCTTTACCAACAGTAAACATATGATGCTTTCAGACAATAAAACCTAAAATGCCAATAGCTACTATGGCATAAATTAATCTCAGCCTCCCAAAAACTTCAGCGAAGCTTTCCAGCTTTGCTACTGATTAAATGAGACATGATACCAAAACCTGGTAAAGTCAGAACATAAACTACTTGATGGCCAAAAATCAGAATAAGTGATGGTACAAGATAGGTTAATCTCCTCTCAAAGGATCATAAAAAGACCTATTAAAATTATGATCCATTAATAATATGGTAATAGCTCCTGCAAAATAAATGTACCTTTCTCACTTTCTGAAACCTAACCTTCCATGGTAAATAGAGGTATCAATAGACAACATAATTATTAAAATAAACTTTGCACATTTTTCCTCAAAAAATTGGCCAAAAGAATTATAAAAAACAACTACTTATACATTACAAACGTAACCAGGAGACTTGACAACAAAAAACATAAAAATAAAACTAATTTTTTAGCATCACAGTAATTAGCAGTTTCATAAATTTTTCAATGTCACGAGCTTAGTGACAAAAATAATATGTTATGGCAGAGGCCACAACTAATTACAAAAACATATTCAAAAGAAATTACACTCGTTCATCGACATCATTCAAAAAAGCATTACCCTTTTGAATCTGTGCGTACATATACTTACTCAAGTATTTGTTAAGTTTTAATCTTACTAGGCAACATTAACTTATATTACCAGGTACTTTAGACACTTAATTAAAATTAGAAAAGAAAAGTAAGAAAAAGAGTAAAACTGAGAAAGAAAAATATGATTAGGTTTCAAAAACCCAGTCACAAGGCATTTTTGGCATCTTCGAGGCGGGCCAAGGCAAATAACCATGTGTTTTGAAAACCCAGTAATCATAGGTTACTTTGCCTATGAGTAAGAGAAACATGGCTATTTCTGCAGCAATAACATAGTAGATATAATCGGTCCAGTCAGTTTGAAATGGACAGACTTTGCTCTGATTCAAGTCTATGACCTGAAAATAAAAAAAGGGGAAAAACACAGGTAAAACATATGAAAAATTAATGAGTGTATTCTTTCCTGATTTGATGTTCTTTAATAGAAACCAGTCAACTTTACCTCCATTGCAGCTATAAGGTAGTTGGAATAATTTAAGGCAGAGGAGTTCTAGGCATATAACTTGCAGGTATATTTTAGGATTCCTGGAGTTCAAATTTCTCTCCTTTTAGTACTTTTTTTTGTGTCATTTTTCACCTCAGACAGGTTTTCCTTAAAATCTCAAAAACATCATTCAACTTCTACATACAGGGTGTCCCAAAAGTCCCTTCCACCCCCTCTAAAATTTTACCTAATTAATATTTTGAAACGAAACTTTGGGGATGTTCATCGATCAATGTTAGCTACTTTTGGGGAACTCCAAAATTTTCGGGCCCCCCCCGTGGGGAGGGGCTGCGGACCCCAATTTTTTTTTTTCAAATGGCAACTCCTATCTTGTGATACCTCGTTCGAAAGAGCATAAAAAACTAAGAATTTTGGCGCAAACCGCAGATCAATATCTTAATTTTTGACCGAGTTATGATAGGTCAAAGGTCAAATTTGACCTATTTTCAAAAAATCATAACTTCGGTGCAAATTATCGTAATGAAAAAAATAAAACGGGAAAATTTACCAATTTGTAAGCACTTTTAAGTAAAAATCACAGAAATTACTTCAAACTAATTTTAAGGGGGGTTTCGGACCCCCAATTACGTCAATTCAAAGGTCATTCAATTTTCCCGCGAAATAAGCCAATATCCCCCAGATTTGCCTCCACATTAGTTCAGTAAGGTCAAAATCAGTTCAACATTACCTTGGCAACTCCCCAAATTTCGGGAAAAGTTAAAAAAAAAAAATTAAACGGTCAAATTTAATCACCTTTAATCTCGTTTTTTTTTTAACTTTTCCCGAAATTTGGGGAGTTGCCAAGGTAATGTTGAACTGATTTTGACCTTACTGAACTAATGTGGAGGCAAATCTGGGGGAAATTGGCTTATTTCGCGGGAAAATTCAATGACCTTTGAATTGACGTAATTGGGGGTCCGAAACCCCCCTTAAAATTAGTTTGAAGTAATTTCTGTGATTTTTACTTAAAAGTGCTTACAAATTGGTAAATTTTCCCGTTTTATTTTTTTTCATTACGATAATTTGATCCGAAGTTATGATTTTTTGAAAATAGGTCAAATTTGACCTTTGACCTATCATAACTCGGTCAAAAATTAAGATATTGATCTGCAGTTTGCGCCAAAATTCTTAGTTTTTTATGCTCTTTCGAATGAGGTATCACAAGATAGGAGTTGCCATTTGAAAAAAAAAATTGGGGTCCGCAGCCCCTCCCCACGGGGGGGCCCGAAAATTTTGGAGGGCCCCAAAAGTAGCTAACATTGATCGATGAACATTCCCAAAGTTTCGTTTCAAAATATTAATTAGGTAAAATTTTAGAGGGGGTGGAAGGGACTTTTGGGACACCCTGTATGTTCCACTCTTCAATTGCTACTGGTATACTTGAAAACAAAGTTTCATACCCACCAAAATCAGGACTCGACTTTAAAAAGATAAAGGCCTTCACTAAAGGTCCACTGTATTTCAAAAAGAATGACAGGCTAAAACACGTGGAATATGAAAGAAGAGTGCAGAAAAAATGTGGGATAAAAAACATGAACTCAAGAAAGAAGCTCATGAAAATCGTTCCTGAGAAAATTTTTAAAAAATTCTCATTGTATGTGATTTAGGGTAAAAATCGCTTTAATAAGAGGGGCGAGAGTACAATATTCAAACCAAAAAGCGCCTATTAGGATCTATTAGATTCAAACTAACCACACTAGATCAGAGGATGAGTGATATTTACTTGAAATTGTTGAAACTTTATTCTGATCACTCTCTATCTCTGCCAAAATGGGTTACCAAATCATTCTTAATATCTTGCACTATGATTATATTATAGACCCACAAGAGTTCTCTTCATTTTCACTTAGATACAAAAGACTGGAAGTTCTAAAGAGATTAATATTTGACACATTTGTTTGGCACACAATGCTTCATGATATCAAACCAGTTGAGATACAAAAAAAATCCTGGAAGTAATACATTTTTAAATCACAAGTGTTAACTTACCCTCTCTGGTAGATTACTGCACAAAACCTCGTTGTAATCAACAACATTGCGAGTATTTGTCCTCAACCACCACTTCAAAGTTTGGGCAGTGCTACAGTTGCAGACTAGCTTGTTTTGTCCCAAATGTACCAGATGAGGAAAATTGTTCCGGTCAAATGTATTGGATAGGATGTAAGTGAGAATTGAGCTTAGATTATTTGAGCGTAAACTCAACACTGCAAAGTTGTCGATAAATCGAGTCCCTTCTAACTTTGCAATTGAATCGATATAGTTATGATCTGCATAGAATTCACGGAGGTAGTGATAGCTTGGGTCCGTGCTCAAAAGATCAAGAGAAGTTATCTACAACAAAAGAACAAAAAAGTAATGAGTAATAATACGCTTAAAGTACTCATCAAATCTTTACAGTTAACAGTTTGAGTTATCACTTAATTTTTTGTCGGCAGCACCTGCAAAGGATACAGAGTTGCCTTCTTCATAAGTTCGCATAATTTTTTTGTTCCAAACTGTAATTGCAAGAACAATTTTTTCAGTAAAATACAAGCTAATATTCTCAGCTATCTGATGAGCTAATATTTTTTAACACATAAATCTTTTGAAACTGAGAACAAATATCTCAAATTCATCACTCTGTTTTCTGTAAACCGTTACTCATGTAACTTTTGTTTTTTCCCTTCCAACATCATTTGAGATAGAGCAACTCTGCAAATAAGTTTTGTTCATCATTTTCTCAATCTTTAAAAGAGTTTCAGATCATGAAAATTAGCGGTCAGTAGTGACAGGAAAGTCATTTTAATTGATAATAACAAGCTGCCTATTCAGCATGCCCAGTAATTTACATACTGAATTTAAGGAAATGATTTCAAATTGTTTAGGGTAGAATATTAATCAAAATAAAGGATACTTACATTGTTATGAGATACATTAAGAAAAATGGTGTTAGCTGGCAAATTTGGAGGTAACTCCGTTAAATTTTGTTTAGAGCAATCAACTTTTGCAGTGAAGGTCGGCTGTTGACCACCCACCAGGTCCGTTCGGTACGCAGAACAGGTGCAGGAGAATTTCTCGCTTTTTGGACATTCTTCATTTAACTGGTGAGAAAAATAAAAAATTAATTAGAAAGATGTAAGCAAACAAGCGGCTTTATGATACACAGACTGTTACTTTCAATATAGAGGCGGGAGCCATATGCTTTCCATTATCATAATAATCTTAGATAAATATAAAGCTTGCAGAATTTAGCATAAGATGAAAACCATTATGAATGGTTGATAGTTCTCTGAGAAATTAATTTTTCCTGAACTGCTGATGGCACCATTTGAGATGATGTTTCTCAAGGCCAAGCAAGAAGAGCTTCTAAAATCGAACTTTTAATGCATCAATCTTGAAAAAAGTGGAACTGAAGATTGAATTTTTTTGCACTTTAATATACAATATCCAGAGGAAATATTGTGACATCTTGGTGGTCATGGAGGAGAGCTTCCGTTTTATCAATGGCCAAGAAAATAAGATAAGCAAAAATAATCGAATTTCTTTTAATGATAACAGCATGCGGCGCAGTCTCCACACAGATACAGCTACAGTCCTAAGCCTCCATTAGGGAACACTTGCAAGAGGACCAAAAAATTCACGTTTCAACCCTGCTTTTTTTGGCATTGACATATGGAAAGGTCAATGTTAAAATCTCACCGTGCTCAGAAAATTTTAAGGAATATCATATCAAGTAATATCAAAAAACCGGTGCCAAATTTTTTTTGTATTCCATGCATAGCTTTATATATATTTGAGTATAACTAAGAAATAATTTGATAATTACTCGCAGGAAGAGTTAAAATGCTACAGTGGAAAAACAGGCTAAAATTTGAGCCAAATGTTCAGTATTTGCTGTCCATCATCATTACGGCTTAGGTGGATATATAACTTCATGTTATAAAAAAAATATCTTCTCACCTTGTTTATAACGGCTACTTGATCAAGCGATATGATTTGAGTTGCGTTGAACCAATCAAAATTGTAGGAGAGGGAACAAAATGTTTCATTTTTTTCATTTCTGAAGTGGAGATTGTTTTTCTTCTTCTTTGCTGCTTTCATAAGTTCTGTGATACTGTTACAATTCAATTGAGAGTTCCCTAAAATTAATGAAGGACTCAAATTAGTGAAAAATTAGATACATTAAAAACAGACATAAGAAAGAAAAGAACAAAATGTAGAAATTCTGTATCAATTGAGGGGCAAGGTGCATAGGTGCAGTTTTTGAAGAAATTCAGATGATAAAGATTCAGGTTAAACTAGTCTTAATGAATATTTTGTGAAAAATTTGCTCCCAAATTCCAATTTTTAAGCATCAAAAAGTCAGTTTGAACTTTCTTTCCACCATAAGGATCCATGTAATTTAAAAATTAAACTGCACTTATGCGCCTTGTCCTCCGAGCCCCTAAATTGAGAAAAAAAAAAAAGGTACTTCTGCTTTGCATTTTTACTGCGTCAAACAATTTGACATTGCAAAAGAACACTTCACAAAATTTGGACCCTTTTTTCCACAAAGTCCCAGAAAAAATTCCTTTTTGAAGAGACATTTTTTACAACTTTTTTGGGAACTTAAAAGCCTTGGTACTTTGAGCTTGTTTCGAAAAATATGTTAGCTCTGGCTCTGAGTTTAGGTATGTAGAAGTAACTTGAGCTAAATGGCAAAATGGATTCACTACTTTTTATTTTTAATTGTTTTCTATTTTTAAGTATTATAAATGACAGTATGTTGGAATTTTTTGGCCAACGTGCGATAAACATTCAGCATAAAGCTAAAATCTCAACACAGAGGTTATTATGACTGAGTGAAAATATACTATGTGTGAAGGCTTCAGCTTTTTGAAATCTTAATTGCACATTTGCTCTGCTTTATATTGATTAAAAATCGAAGACAGATGTTTCAAAATGCACTCTACCTTGTGCCTACCTGAAAGTACATCCTAAGGGTGAAAGGACCTTACTCTGTAAAAATACAGAATTAAGTTAATGATACAAAATCCTAGAGGAAAGGTTCTGTATCATTTAGGGACATTAAGCCCATGTCAAACCAAACAGAATTAATTGAAGTTGGCAGTTAAATAAGTATAGTTTTGAGATACATCTATCTAAAATTTAAATAGACCATGTTCCGAGCAAAATGTTGCCAAATTATGGGTTCAAATTGACATCTTTCGGCATTTCTGGTCTAAACCACTTGAAACTCAGGTATTCCTCAAACTATTATGAGAATTTTTAATCTCAAAACTCTACTTTGCAACCTAATAATTCGATCAAAATTATGCCTCTTTAAATGAGAGTTCTTTCCTTCAGGGATGGTTACACATGCAGATTCTATAAAAAAAAAGAAAGTTCTCGGAATAACTTACCCGAGATGTCTAATTGAAAATGTGGCTGCGCCACATTAATTAGAGGTAAGGAGGTCAAATTATTGTAAGACAGATCCAGCATGGCAAGTTTCTGGAGAGAATTCAATGCGTGATGATCCATTTCAATAAGAAAGTTACTGGAGAGATTAAGGCAAACTAGAGAAACATCACTGAATTCTCCCATCAGACGTTGTATCTTGCTGTCTGTCACAGAGAAGGAGATCAGTGTTTTCCATGCTGCAGCTGAGACATCAAGTCGATCCAACGTTGCATTCTGTATATGTAACGCAGTTGTTTGAAGACGATCAACTGAGCCCTCTTTCATCCCCTGTGGATAGACTCCTTTAGAAAATAAAAAACATAATAGGGTGCTTAATGTTTCAGAATTACTATGAATAGACAAAAAGAGGAAGAAGAAAAAAATCCTGCTGAAAATTTTTAAAAGAGCAGAAAATTATACTTTGTAACAATTCTAAAAATGCTAAGGTACCTAAATGTCTGCCAGGCCAGTCACAAACAACAAGATGGCTGCTGCACTCATGATAATGCAGTCCAAGTGCATAAGTCTTGAAAGAATACAGAGTAAAATCAATTTTTTTTTTTTTTTTAATCCATGCACTTTGTGAGGAAGATGCTAGATGCTGCCTGAAAATGGCTTCAGAATGCCTAGCATTTCTCACTGCTTTTTGTAAGTACAAAGGCTGACGCATGAACACATTGGGTCACTTCTTTCAGGCGTTCAGTTTCTTGCAGGATTTTCTTTCTTGTTTAGAGAGTCTGGCTGTCTTTCGAAACTCAGACCTGATAAGCAGATTGAAGGACCTGTAGCTATTGAACATACTTCAAAGAATTAAACATTGAGGGGGAAAAAATTGTGATCTTTTCGATAATGCTTTTGACAGGATAGGAAAGAAACTTTGAAGTTTCTGTTTTTTTTTTTTTTTTTTTTTTTTTTTTTTTTTTTTTTTTTTTTGTAATTGCAAACTTCTTGTAAAAGACCAGTAAATTCACCGTCTCACATTCTAAATTCAAATGACAAACCTGCACAGGCGAGTCCTTCTTTCAACTCATATTCAGTGTTAATGTGGCAACAACCGACGGAAGAGGAGCCTTCGTCGGGAGCTCTTTTGCAACGGCAAATTTCATTTCGAGGAGGACACTGACTCGGTGGCAAGTGGAAACAATGGCCGTCATCAGACGCTTTGACCATTTGCATCAGGACCCAGCATACGAGCAGGAAACATTCTGTAGGCATTCTGAAATCAAATCACCGGATAGTATTCTAGTTTGGATAAAAGTAAAGTCAGGATGGACACTTGAAAGAAATTATTTATTCAGGGTTGCCACAGAATTTAGAAAATGTAATTCCCTGACATTTCCTTGATACATTTTGGTGGAATTCCTTGACAATTGAAGATGGGACGGATGGTTAAGACGGCATAATTGAAAATAGTTTTCAAGCGAAATTTGTTGTTCGAAACCTTAAACCCATTCTAGAAAGCAAATGAAGGTGATTTAAAAAATTTTCTCTGGCATTTTCGTCATTTTCCCTGACATTCCCCAGTTTTTCCTGACATTTTCGTCAGTTTCCCAGCCATTCCCCGGTTTTCCCTGACTGTGGCAACCCTGTTATCTTGAATGCTTAAAAACAAAGAGCATGCCTTATGAGCAAACTAGGAACTGAATCCAAACGCGAACAGCTCCTACACTGTATTCCAGAAAAGCCTGACCTTTATAGCCATATGTTCCAATTGGGAGAGGCAGTGAGGCCAGTTGAGCCCCCCCCCCCCCCCCNCTCTATTTAAAATTTGATCTTTCAGGGGGAAATTTTGTTCGAATTGAGGGTATTTTTCGAGATTCTTAGCTGGACTCTCCCAAAGAGGAGAGTTATAACCATCTCCCAACAGTTTTCAAACCCCGCCACTAGTTTCGGACGAAATTACGGAACTTAGAGCGTCATAGTGAGGTAGACAGAGCCGAAAAATTGAATTCGAGAAATGTCCTGGCAGCGACCCGAAAAAGGCGGCGAAAAAAATAAGTTATAAATTGAGCACACCAAAATTTAAGGCAAAGAAAAATCAAATGCATTTTTTTCAAATTCTTTCTGAAAGAAAATAGAAACAGCTAATTGTTCTTCATTCCGATAGGAAAAGAGTGATTCATTGATTTCAAGTGCCTGGACAAGCCCCATGATTCGTGTTTGACGTGTCGCAAGAAACCGGTGCGAAAACTGGAAGGGAAATCAGACAGCAGGTGCTTAATTCAAAGTTCCACCTTGAAACTCAGGAATGGCAGCTTCTCTAGACAACTGAATGATAGTGAGACATTAAAGCTACAAAACTTGCACGTAAGTGTTTTGCAAACTTTTTCCGAACGCAAAATCTGTGCTGCATCTATGTCGTTACCTACTTCTTTCAAAGTTAAGACGCTCGTAAACGGTGACAAACGAAACATAAATAAGAGAGAAAAATCGATGGTATCATGATGACAAGTGTTCCAGGATTTCAAAATTCACAGACTTCCCTCTGGCTTCTCAGTGACTTTGCAAATAAATTTCATGACTTTCCAATGTTATTTCTCGGCGCGATACCTCATAAAGCTCCTTTCCACGAAGCATTTTAAAAACGAATGTTAACTGAAAAAAAAATGCAGTGCTTTGGCTGGAAGAAAAATATGAAGGTTCCACGGCATTTACTGATTTTCCCATGACTTTTCAGAGTTGAACAACATTTCCTGACTTACAAGTTTTTCTGACTTCTCAAGAACTTGTCATCCAGTTTTACGGCCACAGGCATCCTATTTGACGCCTTACCTTTTAGGAACTTTTAGGATAAAACAGATTAATTAAGTGATTGACACGTACCTCGAATACATGAGCATTTTGCCAGTAAATTTTATGGAAGCGAGTAAAAAGGAACAAAATTAAATAAACAGAGAGAACGTTCGATCAGAGATGAGAGACAGCACAACACGAGTCCTAGGCATGACACTGACCAAATGAGAGAAAACTTAGAGACAAGCGCGAGAATCGATAAAAAAAAAAGCTCTAATGAAAAACGGCTATCATAAGATCACCAAGGAGATGACACATGAGTCAGCCTCAAAATAGGGTTGGACTTGAAGCGAAACTGATGAATTCGTGTACACGGATGCCGAGAGGGATGACAAATGGCGTATTTCCCTCCGGAAAAAGTGTCCGCTCCAATTAAATAATTCGTTCTACAGCGACTGATGTAGAAACAGAGATGAGGGATTGGTCTCTAGGGACCATATCCTGGGGTATCCTCGCGTGCGGACTTCATGGCAACGTGGAATTTATTCGCCCCGCTGCAAACCAAGGAATTCTCCAATTCATTTCCTTCAACCTAATGAATGGACACCATTAAATGTGAGGGGAGGCTAGTTCCATTTATGCAAGATTCCTACATCGTGCGAAAAACGCGATTGTCGAGGTTTTTTCTTCTCTCTCTCTCTCTCTCTCACGGTAGTCGAACATTTGAGTCGGATTAATCCCAATATTACCAAAAATTCATTCCTCAATTGGTAATTTTGCTTGCTGTACAAGCCAGCTTTACAATTCTTAACGTTGTATTCTACGTGCCCTCTACGGAATTCCCCCCTCCCCCCTCCTCCACCAAAGTAAAGGGGGGACAGCTGGGTTGCGAACGCTCCCTTAAATTTGGGGCTTTAGCAATGACGCCCTACGGCCAAGGCCAAGATTTCTGCATGAGATAAACGCGAAAAGTTCGATAGAATTTAATTACATTTTCTTTTGCAACTTTTGAAGTTCCTGCGCACTGAAGACATGACAAAAGACCTTTGATTTTTTCCCCTCCATTTTTTGAAAATTCCATACAGGGCGGTCAAGGTTTACGATACAAGTGTACCAGAATTTTGGAGTGATTCGCAAAAGTCCAGAGAAAATAATTTAGAGGAGGAAATTTCAAGACGTCGTAAAAGCTTCGGCAGACTTCAATGTTAAAAGTTCTGAGGAGAAATTTTGTTAAGTTCTTTGAAATACTTACCTACTTAAAAGTTTTTCTAATGCACATATCTACGGCGAAATTCCGCGAAAACGCATTAGGGTTTGCGTTATGGCAGAATTTGTCTCTCCATTTGTTTTTAATTTTTTGTAAAGTAACTGACCGTGGGTCGTTTAATAACACCATATCCCTCTTTGTCATCTTGTGAAGAAATTGGAAACGGCAAGTTTTACATTCCTGTGTGGCGCTTTTTAGTTTTCCTACGGAAAAACTTGCAGTGGAAATTTGAAAGTACCCGATACGAATGTATATTAAAGAACGACGATATCTCCTTGATAAAAAACTATTCTTTGGCGCACGGGTCGTGAAATGCTTTTAGACTCTGCTCGGATTATTTCAAGATACTCATGCACGACTGTACAACTGTACGATTTTAGAGGGATGTGTGTGATTTTGCCTACCTCACTTTTTGAAGGACATTTTTCGGCACGCTTCATATGGAGCCGGAATGAGCTCTGAGAGTATATTTTCTCTCCGACGCTCGACGTTTTCTTTCGACGCCTATTTTAGTTTTTTCTTAACCAGACTTCTTTGAAATATTTTAATTCTGCCCTCAAACTTAACATGATAGAAGTGCAGATAAGTAGAATTGAGTCATGAATTTATCTTATTCTTACTAAAATGATATCGATGGATATGAACTGATATTAATTGATGTTAAATGTGTTTTTGCCTTGGTCAACCGATCATTTTTACCGCGGCATCGAACATAACATTTACAAATCCTCAAGGATGGAACTCATGACAGGGCCAACAAGAAAAGTGGAAGGTCTTGCAGGCAGTAAGAAACATTGACATTATTAGAAGGTAGGTATGTTGAAGTTAAAGGGCGTCTATTGATTATTCCTACACTACTTAGTCAATTGAAAGCCCAAGTAGCCAACGGCAGCCCCAAATAAATTTCCTAAATTTTAAAGTAATTCAAAATAATTGGGGTGATTTAAAAACTTTTTGATGTATTTCCAAGGATAGATGAGAAAACGGAAGGGGAAAAGAATTATACTCCTCCTTATATCGTGTAGAATCGAGTAAAAGTTGCTGGACGTGTCACTGAAGAGATGACAATTATAAACGCGAAAATTACAATTGAAATCACTCGCCTTCCGGACGTCGAGCTCTTGTGATGACTCAATGTGATGACTTTAGTTTACAACTAAAGTCACTTGCCATTCGGACCTAGCTCTAGACCTGATTGCGCGGTACACCCATATCAACTCTTGAGCAGCTTAAATTACATTTACAGAGTTGGTTGCAGGTATAAGTAACTTTCTAAATCCTCTGACTGTTCCTTGACTTCCCCCGACTTCTTCGAAATTCTTGCGTTGAAATTCCCTGACATTTCTTTAACAAGTTACAAAGAAGAGAGAAAAATGTTAATTTAATGATATATATTATATTTAATATATGATAAAAAAAAGCGATGCAAACTTTGACTCACCGCCATTAATTGTGGAAAGGAAAAACTTTAAATAATCCAAATAGGATGGTTTAAATGCTGCGTGAAAATACCTACTGTAAAGTATTCCATGCCTGAATAAAAAAAATTGGAGGAAAAGACCAGAAAAAAAAACTAATCGAGTTTAGGTAGGTATTAATATTTAGGTTCCTTCCCGTTGAACTAGCGCACGAATCGCGGATACAGTACTCATGGCACTCGCTTTAAGGCGAAAAATTCTCAAAAACTGGGCAACGCTGACTTGTGGTACCAATGCTTAATAGCTATTTAAGCTGTTGAGCTGCAGCCCTAAGAATTTCTGCGACTCTGAGAGAAATTCCCTGGCTTTTCCAGGTTTCTCCTGGACCTTGCAGGCAGCCCTATACATGGGTAACTTTTTGACAGCTTTTATCTTTGATCCTGCATTCAGTCACCCAACACTCCAGCACAGGATTAAGTACCGTGACTCCCTCAAAAATCATGATGTGATGACTTCTTATTCCAAGAATTTTGTAAGTAAATTGCTGACATTTATGGGAACATTGATGGGTTACATAAGAACCTGAATGAGCTCAAAAGTATCCAGTTTCAATGTTGAGAGATGAGACTATTAAGGTTGGCACCTGCCTGATTATGCGTCAACAATATATGTTTCATCAAATAGTTCAACTGACTTTCAGAAGGACATGAAAGAGCCACCCTCTTGATATTGAATACTGATTCTATGCTGAATACTTTATTTGACTGGGATCAATATGCATGGCTTTGACGACCACTGACATTTAACAAGTACGGTAATGTGAGCAATTGTTTCCTGGTCTAATTGGCGAGCGTTGCACTTGCAGAACCCTTCCATACTAGTTGGTGCAACAAGCGACGTTTTGAAAAAATCATCCTAATTTTTTAAGGACCTTCTGTGAAAATACGCTGGGCACTCCATGTTTATGAATCCAGAGTTATCTCTACTACTTACTCCTAAGGCTTACGAACACACACAATGTACTTCCTCAATCATTCGATGTTAGCACGTGTGGTCTAATAAGAACCATTAATTTAAAAAAAACAATAGATACTTAATAGTTATGTCCACTAAAAAAATATCGACGGTGTAAGTCGGCAATCACATAACTCGTTTGCGGTGTCTGAAAATCTCCGCCTCTATGTTATTTTTTTAAAGGAGAACAAATCGACACCATTCCTTGAAGTTTATGCAGAGTTTTCTTCGCACAGAGAAGAAAAGTCACGGCAGTTTTAAAGAATTGCAGTTGAGTAGATTTCCGTTTAAAAAGTAAAGTATGACAGGAAGTCTGCGACGTCGCAAACTGAGTTATGTGATTGCCGACTTAAACCGTCAATATGTATTTTGAGAGAAGTATGGTGCTTTTGCTTCTAGCTCCATTTTCCAGAAGCTTGGTCTCCATTAGCTGTGTGGGATGATTTTAGATTTACTGGTATTATTGTAAATTAACCACAGCTCCATTTGTTGATTTCTTGTGGAGATCGTGGGTCTGGTAGTAGGCAATCAGGAGCAAGTGACTGCTTAATCCTCCAGAGCAAACATGATTTTTTCAAATGTTCTAGTGGATTCTCTGGTGAGAATTAACATCTTTGATCAGCCATCGTCAAATTCATGTTTTCAGTAGAAAATGCAACCAACAGAGCTATGATTAATCTACAAAAATTGTGTCAGAGGTAGCTACAATAAGTTCATTCACTTATTCTTAGCTGTCGATAAATTAGACAAGCAGAATAGACAAAGTGCATACCTTGATGAACGAGGACGGAAGGAGCTGTGGATGATTCAGGTAAAGGCGTATTGCTTTGGAGAGATATTGCTTGGATGAGTCTGAAATTATTGCAGCGAAAGTCATAACTTACAAAGAACGAGGAGATTAATAAAACTATAATGAGCAGCGAGTAAGTATGGTGAAAAACATAATCCACGAAGATGAAGAAAAACTTTGTAAAGGTGAAAATAAGGCACCACGACTTCCTACACAAGGGTCACAACAAAACAGGGGAGGCAAAATATAATCAGACACTATATCAACTAGACACCGCTTAAATGTCTTTATGGATACTTATTGCTTTGATTGCTGAGTAAAAGTGAAAAGAACAAATATTTACATGGAACGGAAAGGTTCTGGAAGACATATAGACAGATTGTTAATTTGAGGTTAGGTTCAGCCAAAAATAGACACAATAACAAGGAAACATGCAACGCCGGCACGCAACGTCCTTGTAATAAACATTGGCATTCCGCACAGTAGTATCTTGTCTCTGGCTGTCTCGGGTCTCGGGCATGAGAGTGCAATAGAGTGCGTACAAATTTTTGAATAACAGTTTTTAAAATTGTCTGTGAAATTCCAACGATTTTTTCGGTGCTGCGTTAGCAATTTGCAACAATAATCTGGGATTCTAAGTTCAACTCATGACGTAGCAGGAGTAAGTATGAGTAATTTAACTGAATAATAAAAGGATCTCAAATCTACAATATAATGCAAAAAAACTTGGAAAATCTCGTCATGTGAATACAGAAGATTCGAAAACGCCTTCAATTGAGGCGTGATACCTCACGCGTTCCGGAAAGTTCAAATAGTTGTATCCCGTCGCCTTAGCAAGGCGCTGGAAGCTAAATATTGAAGCAGTGTCCCCGCGTTGTTTTTCGGTTTTCCTTTGCCACTACTACAGTTTTGACCGTTCAGGCTGTAGTTTAAGGGCGCAAAGGCCATGACAGTATTTCGCAAAAATATAGTTTTTGCAGAATAATTAAATTTAAAGAGCAGGAGTATTTTAACTAAATAACAAAAGGAACTCAAATCTACTATATGTTGCAAAAAAATTTGGAAAATCTCGTCTTGTAAATACAGAATATCCATAAACGCCTTCAATTGAAGCGTGATACCTCACGCGTTCCGGGGAGTTCAAATAGTTTTATCCCTGCGCCTCAGCAAGGCGATAGAAGTTTAATATTGAAGCCGCGTCCCCGCTTGGTTTTTTGGCTTTCCTGTGCCGCTACTGCAGTCTTGACCGTTCAGGCCGTAGTTCAAGGGCGCTAAAGCCAGGATTGTATTTCGCAAAAGGATAGTTTTTGCAGAAGAATTAAAGATTAAGCAGTAGGAGTAATTCAACTAAATAATAAAAGGAACTCAAATCTACAATATAATGCAAAAAATTTTGGAAAATCTCTACATGTAAATAGAGAAGATTCGAAAGCGCCTTCAATTGACGCGTGATACCTCACGCGTTCCGAAGAGTTCAAATAGTTGTATCCCTGCGCCTTAGCAAGGCGATGGAAGCTAAGTATTGAATTAGCGTCCCTGCGTTGTTTTTCGGTTTTCCTGTGCCGCTACTGTAGTTTCGACCGTTAAGGCCGTAGTTTAAGGGCGCTAAAGCCAGGGTTGTATTTCGCAAGTGGACAATTGTTGCAGAATAATTAAAAATTAAGCAGCAGGAATAATTTAACTAAATAATGAAGGAACTCAAATCTACAATATAATGCAAAACAATTTGGAAAATCTCGTCATGTAAATACAGAAGATTCGAAAACGCCTTCAAATGAGGCGTCATACCTCACGCGTTCCGGAGAGTTCAAATAGTAGTATCCCTGCGCCTTAGCAAGGCGATGGAAGCTTAATATTGTAGTAGCGTTCCCGCTTGGTTTTTCGGCTTTCCTGTGTCGCCAGGGGCGGGGAGGCGATCGCCCCCTAACTATTTGCCGTGGAGGTCCCTAAGGGGCCCCCGCGGCGCGGCGCGAATTATTTTCGAGTCATCGTTTTTTTTCCGTAATGTTGTAATTTTTTTATCCTTTTTAATCACTAAAAGACCCCGAATTCCTTGAAAATTTGTCTGTAAGAGACATGGAAGGTCGCCAAAATTATTTGTTATGAAGGGACCCCCGATGAATCCTGAGAACGGGTTATTTTGAAATTCAAGTACCGTAGAATCCAACTCCAATAATACCTACATGTATAAAAAGTGTGAAATTTTCAAAATTTACCGGGGGGGGGGGGCGGACCTTCTTAGAGGGGCCCCCGAACGACAGGAGGGGCCCTTACATTTCGGTCTCCTCCTAACTTTTCGACTACCAGTCCGCCCCTGTATGTGAGAAAAGAGGTAGAAGAAATGAGGAAGAAGTGAAACAGTAGCATCGTCGTAATATGGCGCGCTCACCAATAAACGAGAAAAGAAAAGATTACATTAATGTCATGTCAGCTCGCCTTAAATTTTTAGAATGGGCATCACGAGCTCGCACGTGAAAAAATTGTGGTATTGTCGTAAAATGGTACTCTTACTCACAGTTTTCACATAAAATAGCTTTGTACCGAAAGAGATTACTCGAATGCCATATCAGTTCTCCTTCAATTTTTAGTGTAGGCAATACGAGCTCCTATGCGGTCGTGGTCTTATGAAAAGTCTTTTCATTTGCCGAACGCCTTCTACGTAACATGTGGATGGTATAAATCCGCATAAAAAGACGTTGTAGACTTCCTGTAATACTTCATTTTTTAAATGGAAAACTAATAAATGGCATTCCTCGAAAACTGCTGTGAGTTTTCTTCTCTTTACAGAGAGAATTCTGTGAAAACCTCAAGGAATGATGTCGATATGCTCCACTTTAAAAAAATAAAAAAGTGATCACCGCAAACGAGATACATGCATGGTTGCGGACTTACACCGTCAATATAAATATGTCTCGTTATATTGTTCGTCAGCTCTCTGTATTATTAGATTATTACTTTCAAAGTCATATATAAGTGGATCAGAAAAAAATTGAAATTAGTGGAAATGAAATTAAGTGCACCCAATAGCTGACTTGAGTGCCTAGTTTACGTTTTAGGTCTTTTCAACTGTAGCGGATTCGCCAAAAATTCTACGTATTTTAAATTCCGCTAAAATTTTGGGGTTTTTTCTCGTTTTATTTACCACCAACTTTATCGGCAAGTCTAAAGTTTGCGTGTCAAGTTCTGTACGTTCCACCTGCGATTTCATGGAAATTTTTAAACACCTGTTGAAGCACGCGGTTTCATTGATACAGGCAACTGTGGAATAGTGATCAGATTTACCAAAAACTGCGCATGGTGAAATCCGAAGGAAAGAAAAAAAAAAAAAAAAAAAANAAAAAAAAAAAAAAAAAAAAAAAAAAAAAAAAAAAAGAAGTGACAAAGAGAGAGAGACAGAGAGGCTGTGAAAGTTGCAGGATGCCAAGCTGCCTCTCATTTTTTGTTAGTGATGAACAGTGTTTGGAGTACAATTCATTTGCTGCTCTTCGTAATAAATCAGGTAGGGCATCCATTTTTAAATTTACTATATCATTCTTCACCATGTAAGAATATTCGGTAGATGTTCTATCTTCTCCTGCACAGATTTTCTGTCGCCATGATGTGAAAAAAGAAGTATGCAGCCCTCAAAATGAAGCTATATCAAGATCGTTTCTTTCAGTTCGGCGCGTTGCCCTTTTTCTCTCTTCTTCTCTCCCCCACCTCACTCCCACTCTCTTTCCCCGACCGACATGCAAGATGGCAAGTAGCAACAAATTTTTGTACTGAATTTAGACTTTGATCAGAGTAAGCGACAATGGAATTCCTTCCACCCGTTCAGAAAGTTGAGTTCATTTTACTGGCCCATTTCTGCATGGAAATATCAAAGGTTTGAATTTTATAGGTTGGCAATTAGAGTGAACTGATCTTCTCATCCGTTTCATCTGCCTTGCAAAACGGTACACGGACTTTATGTCCACTTTTTTTACGTCCACAGACTTTTCGTCCACAATTTTTACGTCCACAGTTCTAAAGCCCACACGATTGTTAGGGTAGACTGGGGTTAAGTGGGCACCATTTTGTTTGAAAAATCATAAAACAAATTTGGTGATAGATAGAGTTAATCTTTAAAGTACAATGTCTTCAGTATAATGTAAGGTATCTGCAAAAAATAGTATGTTTCATTTTTTAAATTTCTTCATGGTCAAAATTTAGATTTTGTAAAAAATGGGAAAGTGCTCAGTTAACCCCGTGGGGTGGGTTAACTGGGCACTGGGGGTGGGTTGACTGGACACTAAGATGAAAAAGCATACTTTTGAAAGAGGAAACTTTTATTAAGTCAAATGAACAAGTGGAAAAGTCTTAAAAATTAAAGAAATACATCTGAGGATGATTTTTTGTTTGTCTTAATACTTATATTATGTACATTTTCACTAAGAGATACGGAAAACTTATTTCAATGACTTTTGAATAGGTCCCATGGTTGGTTGTCCTTTTTCTCCTTTTAGTTGTTAAAATACTGCAATTAAAATAAAAAAACAAGTTTTAGTGAATGTTTTGGCTAACTTGTAATCCATGGGGTTAACTGGGAATGCCCTCTTTATTCCCATTTGGTAGTGTTCAGTTAACCCCATTTGGTAGTGTTCAGTTAACCCCATTTCGGAATTTCAGAGAAAAAAAATCATAAATAGTACTCAATTGGAATAATTACCAAAGTAATCACTGGAAATAGTACATAAAACTATAGATGAAACAATAAAGCACTTACCAAAGCCTTCCTCAAAAGCTAGATATGTCATTTGGGCTTCAGTTCACAGCACCGGGAATTTACTTTTCGCCCCACGAAACACGTTTGTAAACATAACTTCAAAAAAAACAAAGATTATCAACTCAGCGCAAGGTACACTAGTAAGGGTCTATAAACTGATGAAATTGACGCGTAGTTGGTTTTGAGTTTGCCCACCAGGTGGCAGCTAGGTCGAGTGTTCAGTTAACCCGCCGTGCCCACTTAACCCCAGGCTACCCTAAGTCCATTACTTAAACGTCCACTAACTTAAGTCCACAAATGTAAAGTCCACTAAAATCAAATTCAAGCGTCATATTTTAGTCCGTTAGTAAAATTATATGGACAATATCGACATGAGAAATTTAAGAGAGAATAAGGTGTTGTTATCGTAACTCATATTTTAAATGAAATGTTAATTTCTTCTTTTGATTCATCTTTTCAAATTGTCTTTGGTAAATACTTGGTTTCATTTCTATCCTTGAAATTTCCGATATAAAATATGCCTTAAATGTACATACTTTTTTTTAATGAAATTGATTACTTCATTTTAAAAACATTTACATTTTTAAAACGTGGTAAATATTTGTAAAACTTTTTCCAAGCAATGGCATCGATATGAATCTCAATGAGCCGTAGTTGTGATGAGAGAAACTATACAAAAATTAATAAAGGAGGAAAAAAACTAAGAGGCACACAATTTTTTGTTTTTAACTTATTTGTACATCGACCTCCTTGAGTCAAATACGTCCAATTTTGAGCGTTTGGTTGCGCTTACACCAAGCTGGAGCACAGTAAAAGCCCAAAACACAAAAGAATAAATTTGAATGCTTTGAAAATCATTAAATTTGATACGGAGCCACTATTATATTTACAAAAAACACATTATATTTTCCAGTAGT